CACTTCTGCTCACTGCTCTTTCCCCTTCCTGATCCCGATATAGGGTCTTTCTGTCCATTCTTCACCCTCCGGCCTCTGCTTCATCTGCCCATTTAGCAAATTTATAAGAGCACTTGGGATGTACCAGGCCCTGAGTGAAAGATTGAAGCCTACGGGAGGCCCACACCTTCCAGAAGATTCTCACCCAGGGTGTGGGTGCTGTCACGGGAGTGCCCGGGGGGCACTGAACATGTGGGTCTGGGCTCAGGAGTGAGGTCTGGTCTGGAGAGAGGGCTCCAGGCATTGTCAGCCTTGAAACAATCACTGAAGCTGCAGGGAGCTGGGGAAGCTTGCCGTGAGAGAGTGAGTGAGGCGGGCAGGCAACGTGGGAGAGGAGACTGAGACAGAGAAGTTAGGAAAAGAGGTAGGAAAACCCCAGACTGCATGGCCAGAGGGCATTTGCACATGTATGTAACACAGTGCACATGTGCACATGCACACAAATGCACATGGATGCACCAACACACATACATTCATGTGCACACACGTCTCAACATGTACACACATCCACAAACCATGCACAGGCAGAATACACACACCACACTCATGCACACAGACACACATACACGCTTGTACTCCATGACATACTTGCAGGCCTAGACTATGTACATACTTGCACACACATGTGTACATGCATGTGAGTACATGCACACAAAACACCCATGCGTACCCACACACACAGGCCGTTACGAACACACCTGCATGCCCACACGTACACATGATGCGTGCATGCACAGGCCTGTCTAGAAGTGGGGGTCTTGGCTGTGTCAGTGCTGCTGAGGGGTTGAGGGAACTGAGCACTGTGGAGTGCCCACTGGATTTTTCCACCTGGAGGTTGTCTGTGACTTTGTAGCCACAGGGGAAGCTGGGGTGAGGAGAGTGGCTGGAAAGGAAGTGGGTCCAGGCACTGCAGACAAGCCTTTTGAGAAGTTTGGCTGTGAGAGATGAGAGAGGGCAGAGGTGGGAATGGGGTGTGAGGTTCAGGAAGCGCTCATTTTCTGAGCCTCACAGGAAGCAAAGGCATCTCGAGGGAAGCCCTGTGTGAGGGGCTCTGGGAAGATGCCCCAATGCACACATGCGTCTTCCACACTTCCTCGTAACAGAAGGGGCCGGCTTGGGTGCTGGTGGGAAGAGGCTGGCCTGGAGGGGGAGTTACCGATGTAGGAAAGAGCTGACTGTGAGGGCCCCCATGGGAATGGTAGAAGTTGCTGGCTTTAGCAGGAGGGACAGAGGGCAGGGTGGCTGCTGTCACAGGCAGGTTGGTAGCTTGGTGGCCGGATGTGAAGCCATGTCAGCCGGATGCCTCCAGTCTTCCGTTTTCTCTGTGCAGCAGGGAGGTGCTCCGCAGACCACAGGTATGGAGAAGACGGACAGGTGGATCCACCCACAGCTGGGTTTTCAGCCAAGAGTTCAGGACAGGAGGGCAAGGAACAAGGGAGTGTGTTGGCTGGAGGCTGGCTGCAGGCGTGGGTCCCGGGATCAGGCTGGATAAGGAAGGAGGTGCAGACAGGAGGGCTGGTGGGCAGGGACTCAGAGAAGGATGTTGGAGAGGAGCCAGGAACGATGGTGTGGTCTGAGGAGAGAGGAGAGGTGGTGACGAGTGAGCCAGGCTGGGGGTCACAGGGCCAGGGCGTAGCTGTGGGAGGGGCTGCTGGGCCGCTATTGAGTGTTGACTGAAGTAGGGCCTGGGGCAAAGAGGAACCAGAGGGGGCTGTTGAGAGCCACTTGGGTGGGTGACAGAGGGAGCCGGGAGAGGGGCGCAAGTTGATGGCGAGAGAAGAGTGTACACAGGGGTGGGTATCCACACGTGTGGAGGGATTGGCAAGAGGCTGAGCTTGGGGGTCACCTTCCTCAGCTCCCAGAGCCCGGGAGTATGAGGGTGGAGCCGTTCTCTGAGGCATTGTCCTCACACAGAGTTGGGGTTGGCGACAAGATGACGGGCCCTTCAGTGAGGACACCACAGCCCTCATGAGAGGGGCTGTGGAGTCCTGGGGTGGGTGAGAATCTGCCCCATCTCAGGTCAATTGAGTGGGGCTCTGGGAGAGGCCCCGGGGAGTGGCTGGTGGGACCCAAGGGCCTTCTGGCATGAGCACCCCACTGGTTTTGGGCTCCCAGGGCCCACGCTCCCTCCCTCCTTACAGTAGCCTGGCCTGTCCAAAGCCCCTCCAGCAGGGCTCCCACAGCAGCACCCCCTCAGCCTGCTTGGGGTGGCGGGTTTGTCCTGAGCTAGCCCCTGACTCTCTTACTTGTTCTGCAGGACGATGAACCGCTGGACTCCTTTCTGCAGCACACGCCTGTGCGCTGAGCCCCCCACTCGGCCGTGCTCACACAGACACACCCAGCTGGACACACGGGCATCTCACATGACACAGGCTGACACAGTCTCATCTCCCCACCCCTTCCCGCAGCATGTCCCACGACCAGACACGTGCACACACGTCACACCCTCACACACCCAGCTCAGCCACACACAGCCCGTTACACACTGCCCTCCAAACCACCACAGTCTCTGCCACACACCCATGACCACTGCCACACCCTCTGAATCATGCAGGGAAGGGTCTGCCCTTGCCCTAGCACACACAGGCACCCACTCCCTGCCCCTGCTGACATGTGTATGTGTGTGTACACACCACGCACACACACATGCACAAGTCATATGCAAACAGCCCTCCAAAGCCTATGCCACAGACAGCTCTTGCCCTAGCCAGAATCAGCCACAGCAGCTCGCCGTCTGCCCTGTCCATCTGTCCGTCCGTTCCCTGGAGAAGACACAAGGGTATCTCCATGCTCTGTGGCCAGCTGCCTGCCACCCTGTGGAACTCACAAAAGCTGGCTTTTATTCCTTTCCCACCCTTTGGGGACAGGAGCCTTCAGGACTGCTGGCCTGGCCTGGCCCATCCTGCTCCTCCAGGTGCCGGGCAGTCACTCTGCTAAGAGTCCTTCCCTGCCACACCCTGGTAGGACACAGGCACTTTTCCAATGGGTAAGCCCAGCGGAGGCAGGACGGGAGAGCTCATTGGGTGCTGCTGGGGTCTTGGAGCAGGAGTGAAGCAGAGGCGATGGGGCTGGGCTGAGCCAGGGAGGAAGGGCCCAGCTGCACCTAGGAGACACCTTTATTCTTCAGGCCCGTGGGGGAAGTTCCGGGTGCCTTTATTTTTTATTCTTTTCTAAAGAAAAAAATGATAAAAATCTCAAAGCTGATTTTTCTTGTTATAGAAAAACTAATATAAAAGCATTATCCCTATCCCTGCAGCCTGTGGCTATGTCTGTGTGTGCTTCCTGCCAGGTGCTGGGCTGGTGCCGGGTGGAGGGGGCAGGATACAAGCCCCTCAGTGCCCAGACCAGCAGGCATCAGTGGAAAGTTCAGTTCTCGGGGCCGGCAGAGTAGCTGCACAGGCAGGCATCCCGGGAGAAGAGGGCATAGCCCCCGGTGAGGGGGCCTGGAGGTGTGTGCAGATGGCCTACTTGGGAATAGTAGGTGAGGCCTGAACCAGCACACACGGCCTATGAGCTCACTGTGCATTCCCAGAAGTGGAGCATCCAAGCAAAGGACCTCCTGGGCTTTGGGCCTGTTAAGGGCTCACCTGGAGGGTCACGGGTCACCTTCACTGAGGGGGCGTTACCAGTGGGTTCTGTCCCTTAGAGGAGAGCAGGGGACTGGAGGCAGGCCTGGGAGCTGGAGCAGGGCTGACGTGGGGGACCAGGTCTCTGCAGACCTTACCAGGAAAGAGCTAACAGATGCACCCAGTGTGCTCCCCGCCCCAGTGGGGGACAGAGCTGGGAATGGGAGAGGAAGCCACTGGGAGGTGGTACCCAGCTCTGAGCTAAGAAAAGCCTCTGATGGGCAGAGCTGCCCCACAGTGGATTGAGATGCCCGGGAAGTGGTGACCTCCCTGCTGCTGGAGGTGTGTGAGGATGCGCCTATCAAGTCCACTAAAGAGCAGACTCCTGCCTTGTGCTGGGACAGATGCGATTGCTCAAGGGGTCTCAGAGATGTGACACTGAGAAGGGGCTGGTAAGCCTGTCTGCATGAAGGTGGAATGACTCATTGTATGACATCTGACCTCTCCCAGGTGAGGAGGCCTCAGCGAAGGAAGGATGCTCTCATGGAGGCCTACAGCCCCCAGCCCTGCAGTGGGAGGAGGTGTCCTGGGGTCATGCTCTTCCCAGACTCCTCAGACTCCGCCCCTGGGAGGAGGGCGAAAGGAGTTCAGGAGTGGGGCGCTGGGAGCAGGTGCCCTCCTGACGCTAGTGAACTGGGGGAGGCCTGTCCCCTCCTTGGGCCTCAGTGTCTTCATGGGCATCATGGTGCAAGCCCCTCCAGACCCAGGAGCTGTATCTTCTCCCCAGGGTGTATCTGGAACAGGCTGTGTGGCCAGGGCCCTTCTGCGTGCCCTGCAGGCCTCCTGGAGGCAGCCTGGGGTGGGAGAATGAGGGAGACCATCTGCAAATGTCCCTGGGCACGCCCCTCTCTAAAGCAAAGCATTCACCACAAGGAGCCAGACTGGGAAGGAAATGTGTTTCTTCTTTGGGGACTGATCTCAAGGCCCTGCCTGCAGAGCAGAGTCTAGACCACGGCAGAGAGGTCTGTCCACACTGGACAACACCCAGCTGCCCTGTGGTTATTGGGACAGGCTCCTGGGTAGGCTAGCTTGTACTCTGTCTTCTGCATGTGACAGCTCAGACAGGACTGTCCTTACTGCAGCCACCAGGACAGGCTCCTCTGCACTCTGGCTGCCCACACGCTGGCAGGCCTGTCCACACTGGCAGCCTGGACAGACCTGTCTATACTCCAGTTACATGGACAAGCCTGTTAGATTCTGGCCACCTGCATAGGCCTGTCCATATCCTGGCTGCCCAGACAGGCCCGTCTGCACTCCGGCTGCCTGTATTAATTAGCCCAGTAGCTAATATCATATTCGCTGGCTAGCATAAGGTGTTGAAGCCCACAAGAAGTAAAAAACAAAATAACTTTATTTAGTCAACACTGAATTTGCAAACACAGAAAGGAAGAGAAAACCTGACTCCACTTGGATGCACAGGCCTTTGGGGAGTTCTGACACCAGGGCTCCATCGGCAGGTCCACCAGAGCGTCCTGGCTGCACCTCCCTCCCGGAGTCCTGGTTTGCCTACCTATCCCGTGGGACATTGACCTGGATGTGTCGCGGGGGCCTTGCAACTCTAGTAAAGACATCTATCTCCACATCCAAGGAGCTTTGCAAGAGACACGTGGTGGGACAGGAGACTGGACGCACTGTGGCCTGGGGAAGGCAGTGGGGCTCGGCCCTGGGCTGCTCCCCTTGGGGAGAGCTATGTGGCTGAGGCCACCTGTTATGGGGTGGGGCCTGGGTCTGGACACAGCTACAGGCTGCCCTGTCCTCCAAGAGGAGAGGTGGGGCTTGAAAGATTTGAGTTAGTGGCTTGACCTTAACGTGAGACCTTGGACAAGTGTTTTCAGCTCTCAGGGCCTCAGCTCTGTCATCCAGAAAGTGGGGCCGGATAACCCCTGCCAGCTGCCCTCACCGGGCGCACACGGGGGAAACTGTCACAGCGGGGCCTCGGGCAATGCCGGGCCCATCACTCCCTGGTTGGGGCTCCCCCATGTGGCCTTTCCCTTCTCTGAGATCCATTTTCTGTCAAGCGGGGTGAATTCCAGCCTCTCAAGGGTGAGAAGAATGTGTGATCCTGGCCACTGCCGGCTGCTCAGGAGGGTTGGAGAGTTGAGTTCCTGCCTCAGGACTCTGCCCCTGGAGGCCTCGCCTGCCCCTGCAGCTCCGCAGGCTCAGACATTGGTCTCCAGCTCACTGATCTGGATGGTGCAGTGGTCCAGACTCACAGCGGGCGGCTCCTCGTCCTGCTCCACTTGAACGGGGGCGTGGTGGGGGCAGGTGGGGCCCAGGGTGAGCTCGGAGGCCTCGGCCACACTCTTCACACAGCCATTCTGCTGGGCTGCCACAATCTCCTGGAGGCTCACTGGCTTGGTCTCGCAGGGCAGCAGTTTCTGGTGAAGGGAAACAGGCCTTGGTAGCGGCAGGAGGGAACAAGGTTAGACACTAGGGAGGACTGAGGGCCAGTGGGGCAGAATGAGCTCAGGGCTAGGAACCACAAGATGGATTTTCCTGCAGATATGCTGTGTGACCTTGGCAGGTCACGGTCTCCCTGGGCTCCTGTTCCCAAGCTGTCCTGCCTCCCACTAGAGCTGCCTTAGTAGAGAAGGGGACTTAATCCACAGGGTCCAGCTGGGGAACCAGTGGCTCCCCTGCCTGACCTCAGCTTCTTCCCCATGATGCGGGGACAGCCTTCTCCATTTGCCTGTAGAAGGAGCCTGAAGCCCACACAGCCTACACAAACCTACCAATGCTCACATCGTGGCTACACTGGACAGACCATCCCTACACTAGAGTGTAAGTTCCATGAGAGCGGGGAGTTTTATCATATTTTGTTCCACTGTTCCTCCTGTGCCTGTATCAGCGCCAGCCACAGCGGGTGCTCAATACATAGATGTTAGAGGAATTAGTCATCCTGTAACAGATGAGGAGACCGAGGCCCAGAGGCATGGAGGGAGGGATTGGCTGGAGGCTGCCCAGCTGGTTGGTGGAAGATCTGCTGCCCTGCCCACCCCGCCTGGCTCCACCCTCCTGGCAGCCTCTGGACCTCACTGCGCTCACCTCAGTGCCTGTGTCCCGAGCAAAATCCTTCCGACATATGTGGGCCATGATCCCCGCTGCCAGCGCATCACCCAGCACGTTAATCATGGTGCGGAAACGGTCCCTGGTGAGCCAAGGTGGGGGATGAGCGGTGGGCACTTGAAGGGGAGCTGGAAGAGGGCAGTGCTCAACCCACCACAGCACAGCACAGCCGGTGACCAGCTGTCATGCAGAGCCTGCAGCCAGATGGCTTCCTGGCTCCTCCCAAGCCCACCCTTTGGCATCACTGAAGCAGTTTCTTGGCATGTGGCTGTGGGTTCAGCAGGTCCCCATGCTTAGAAGTGTCAGGCTTGGTTTAATCCTCTGCTGTTTCTGTCTTGAAATTCTTTATAAGTTTTTTTTGCTGTTTGTTTTTTGAGACAGAGTCTTACTCTGTCACTCAGGCTAGAGTGCAGTGGCGCCATCTCGGCTCACTGAAACCTCCATCTCCCGGGTTCAGGCAATTCTTTTGCCTCAGCCACCCGAGTAGCTGAGATTACAGACACATGTCACCATTCCCAGATAATTTTTTTTTTCTAATTTTTAGTAGAGATGGGGATCTTGCTATGTTGCCCAGGCTGGTCTTGAATTCCTGGGCTCAAGGAATCCTCCTGCCTTGGCCTCTCAAAATGCTGGGACATATAGGCGTGAGTCATCATACCTGGCCTTTACAGTTTTTGAACTGGGTTCCACATTTTCATTTTTGAACACTGGACTCCGCAAACTATGCAGCCAGGCCTGTGCTGATGAGTAGCACACTCCCATGGTGCCAAGCAGGGCAGTCCCCAGCCTTCTACCCTGGGGAAGGGACTCAGCCCCTCACCCTGATCCCTGCTGACCCTGAAGTCAGCCTCTCCCAAAGCGCTAGAGCTGGAGATAAAGTCCACTCACAGAGCCCAGTCAACGGCAATGATGAGGGTGATGTCATCGGTGGGCAGTCCCACGGAGGTGAGCACGATGACCATGGTGACGAGGCCGGCCTGGGGGATGCCGGCTGCCCCAATGCTGGCTGCAGTGGCTGTGATACTGCAGGGGGTGGGAAGGGGAAGAGGAGCAGCAGGAGGGGCGGGATGCATTGTCAGGGTCTGGCTCCAAGGAAGAGGTTGAGTGTCAGGGCTTCTGGGACAGCCATTTGGGGTGGGGGGTGGGTAGGAATGCCACACCAGGAAGCTCCCAGGGACAAGTCCCTCCTCACAGTCCTGCAGCCCCATGGACCCCCATTCCTGGCCTCAGGAGAACCCCTGGGGAATGTGCAAACACCTGTGTCTGGAGCTGTGTCTCTGTGGGTTCCAGGAAGCTATATTGCTATGGAGCTGCCCAGGGACTCATTGACCACCACGTGGCTCTGCCTGCCTCCCTCTGGGGCCTGGCCTCCAGGGTCAGACCTGTGTGCTTGGCTGGCCTGTGAGGCCTCCGTCAGCCTCAGCCCCACCCCAGCTCCCCTTCCTCAGCTCCTGCCGCACCGGCTTCCTCTCCGAGGTCCTGAATCCTGTCCCTGGCCTCTGCTTGCCCTGTGCCCACCAGCAATGCCCTCCCTCCCAACCTGTCCTCCAGGCTCAGAGCTCTCAGCCCTGGCCCTCTGCCTGCCATGTCCCGAGCCCAGGTTTGCTCGTCTCAGAGACCCCTCAGGCCTCGGAGCCTGGGAATCCTCAAGGCCTCCAGCCCCCGCCCCATCCACACAGGTGCGGTGTCAGGGTGCACCTGATGGTGATGATCTGGCCAAAGTCCAGCTCGTAGTTGTTGACCTGGGCGATGAAGATGGCGGCCACGGCCTCATAGAGCGCAGTGCCGTCCATGTTGATGGTGGCACCCACGGGCAGCACGAAGCGCGCGATACGCCGGTCAATGTGGTTGTTCTCCAGCAGGCACTTGAAGGTGATGGGCAGTGTGGCTGAGCTACGGTTAGAGGGGCCGGTGTCTGCCCAGCACCCTCTTCCAGGATGGCTAGGGCCTCCGTTGGGAAGCTCACCCCCCCCCAGGCAGCCACCCCGCCAGGAGTGTTTTTGTTTTCCTGCAGCGCTGCTCCGGCAGGAGGGAAGGACCGCGGGCACTGCAGTGCTCTCACTTGGTTCTTCCTATGAGGGAGGTGTTTGGGTGCATTTTACAGATGAGGAAGCTGACGCCCAGAGGGTGGGGCTGACTCATGTCATACTGCTGTGCCGAGGGATATGGAAGTCTGAGCAGCAGGGCCCTGGGCCAGGCTGCCTGGGCTTAGATTCCAGCCTCCTGTCAAGTGGCCCTGGCAAGTTCCTGAACCCTGTGCCTTAGCATCTTTGTCCCAAAAAGACCGGGGTCACAGAGCTACTAGGAGGATTAAACAACTACAGGCTTGGACAGCACCTGGCCCATTGTACCCGCTTAGTCAATGGTGACCATGGCTATTATTGTTACTATGTTTGTCATGAGAGTTCCTAGTGGCAGTGCTGGGACTAAAACACAGGCCAGTGTGGCCCCCGAGTCTTCCTCTCTCCCAGGCCTCTGCCTGGAAGGCCGGTTCTACTCGTCAGAGCCTCTCAGGAGCTCCAGACCTGTTGGGCTCCAGGCTGTGGTTCCTGCTAGCAGGAGATGGCCAGGGGCCTGCTGGCTCTGGCAGGCTTGGCCCCTGGCATGGGAACTGGCATGTTTGGGGCTTTGTCCTGCCCCCTGACCCCCTATCCTCAGGAGGGTGTTCCTGGCAATGGCTCCTGAGCTTTTCTTCACTGCGATCTGCTCCTCCTGAGTCCTGCAGGAGGTGCGTTTGCTGCCAAGGGTGGGTGTCATATGACTGCCGCGTACAGAGGCCTGCAGGGCATTTTACAGACGGGGAAGCTGAGGCCCAAGTGAGGGCTGGAGGGAAGAGAGAGGACTTCAGTGCCAGAAAGATGTGGGTTAAGTTCCTGTGACTCCCTTAATGTGGAGCTCAGACACTTGCCATAGGGAGAGCCACCCCGCCTTCACAGCACTAAATGCTCCATGAGGGACCACTTCCTTCCTGCCCCCTCTACCAACGACGTGGTTTGCACAACTCTAAATTCCTGAGGTCTCTGCACTGGGCTGCGGTTTGGGATCCTTGAGGCCAAGTGCTGGCTCACCTGGCCCAGCCTGGCAAGGAGGAGCTCAACCTCCACAGTAAACCCGTGAGCTGGAAGCTGGAATCTCCCCCAGTTTGTGCATGAGGAAAGCAATGCCCAGGCACAGCGAGTGTGTGACAGAGCCATGGCTCAAGTCCCTGAGGTCTAGCAACACTGCCAAGGTTGTGACAGGGCACCCAGCGGGGACATCCCAGCAGCAGTGGACAGGCCGAGCTCCTAGAGCAACGCAGGGCCCGACTACAGGAGAAGCACCTTGTGGGGCAAAAGGCAGCATTGCTGATGTGATTTCCCACAGAATGCACTGCATTGTGTGTCTGCCCTGGCGCGGAAGCTGTCCCCATGGGGACTCAGTGAGCTTGAGGACTGGGGCCATCGGGGAGCGGGAGGCCTCGATAGAGGCCGAAAGTCCCCCCCACCACCTCCCTCGGTCTTGTTACTCTAGCACCAGCCATCCCTGCGTTTGTGAGGTGGGCCACACTGGTGCTTTGGTGGTTCTGTGGCTATGAACACATGATGACTGGCCAGACGGACAGGACTCAGCCCCTCCCAGCTCCCCACCGTGCTGTCCGTCCCCGGCCTACCTGGAGGAGGTGGCCAGCGCGATGAGCAGGGCCTGCAGGATGCCACGGATGAAGACGATGGGGTTCTTCTTGGTGATGAAGAAGTAGAGCAGGGGCAGGATGAAGAGCCCGTGGAGCACCAGCCCGCACACAACGGTGACCGAGTAGAAGCCCAGCTTCTTGCCGACCGCCCTGGGGTCATCCATCTCCAGGATCTTGCCGGCGATGAGGAACACAATGCCGAAGGGGAAATACCTGGGAGCGGGGCAGTCAGGCTCAGGAACCAGGTGGGCAGACACACCCTGGCCCCAGCCCCACATCCCTGCGCCGCCTTCCCCCTGAGCCTCCTTGGGCTCCTGGGAGGACAGAGCAAGACTGTGCCAAGGTGCCCGGCCCAGGCTCAGCATATGGTGTCCTTCATTCCGTTACGTCCACCGCCCCAGCCCCGGACAACCTCTGCCACTCCTTCCCCCGCCCTGCCTTCAGGAGGCCCCCATTTCAGGCCCAACAACACCAGAGCCTACACAGTGCGCCTGGGCAGGCCGACCTCTGCGTTCCCCACTGAGCTCCTGAACTCTGAACTCTGGACCAAGGAATAGCAGCTGGTTCTCACCGCCAGCTTTCCTTTCTGCAGAAGCTGAGCTGGTAAGTCTCCACGTGATGGAGAAACTGAGCCCAGGAGAGCAGCAGAGCCGGGCTGAGCTCTTAGACCAGGCTGGAAGGGGCAGGGGGCCCAGGGCCGGAGCCAGGCCTGGCTGGGGCTGGGGGACCCATGGAAACACATGTAGCTCTGGAGGCCCCCGCCCGGGGCTGAGCCTGGGCACAGCTTTCTGCTCACTTTAGGGGAGAAGAGGGTGGGGTCATGTCTTCCCTCCATCCATCCAGGGCTGGCAGGGGTGAGGTGGGTAAATGAGGAGGCTTACCACACAGCCACTGCCACAATCTTCATGACCGACTCATTGAGGCACTGGCAGAAGCTGACCAGGGGGGCCCCGCTGTCACCCATGCGGCCCAGCATGATGCCTGCGGGTCACAGACACAAGAGCACGTCACGAATGCCCCATGCAGGGGTGCAGGCACACTGTGGTAAAGCAGGGACAGACCCACAGGCCCACATGGGTCTCAGCATGGCTGGCTTCCCAGCAGCCTTGATGCTCCAACACTCCCCCGCTCTCCCTCTCTCCCTCTCTCCTCCTCCACTCCACCATGGACCCCACAGTGCTCTCACGTCTTCCTCCTCTCTCACCTTCCTCCATGAAGCGGCCAATGTCATCTCCTCAAGATAAAAATGCTCCCTGCCAAACGCACCCCTGGCTTTGCTGTGCACTTAGGCCATGACAAGCTCCCCACTGCCTCACCCAACTTGATACCTCAGCCCCACTCGAGTGGGGCCTGCCTGCCCCTCCCTCCTTCTCCTGCCCATCTCACTGTGCCCTGGCACCACTGGCCTTCTTTAAGTTTCTGGAAGGAGGGAGTCCAGCTCTTCACTGCCTCAGGGCCTTTGCACAGGCTGTTTACAATGCCCCAGGCACTAGCTGCCTGCTCTCCAAACAGCTTGGAAGCCATCCCCACTCCCCTTTGCAAACACCCACTTATTCTTCAGTATCTCACCTCTTAGGGCCTATTACAACATAACTGCCTGGGTTTTTCCCCATCTCCTCTGCGAGGTTAGCTCAGCAAGAGCAAGAACTGCATCTCCTTAGCTGGAGCATGTTAGATGCACAGTGATCAGTGGTGAGTGAGGACTAAAAGCCCTCCCTGATGCTCCTGGTACCTCCCCAGGCATTCCAGGCCTTCCTCCCCAGCTCACACACACCAGGAAAGGGTGCTGTGGGAACAGCTCCATGGGGTGATCTCCATCAGGCCAGTCCTGAAACACGGACTGAGTGGCTGCCCTGCCTCCTGGTGAGACTGACGAGGGGAGCAGGGCACCCTCTGCAGCTGCCCTCATGAGGCCCACTGTCATGGTGCTGGGGCTCAGCCAGGGAGGCAGGGTGGGATTCAAACCATGGCCTGTGGGACACCAGAGAAGGGCTCTTTCCCTGTCCTGAGAAGCCTGAGCCACACAGTCCTTGGAGCAGCTACCCTGTGGTAATGGGGTGAGGTGGGAGCCTTGCCAGGGTGGGTAGGAGAGGCTGGAGTTGGAGGTGACCCTGGGCCTACCCCTGTCCACCTGTCTTCCTGCCACCTGGCTGATGTGAAGCCAGATTCCCTGCTGACTCCACCCTCCCCAGGCTCCACCACCACCACGCACCGGCTTCCTGCCCCTCCTCAGGCTGATTTAGATTTCCCCAGGGGCATCCAAGGACTAGCTGCTGGGAACCAGTGTGCATGGAACCCTGATGTGGTGAGGCAGCTCCCTCACGGCAGGGCCAGCGGGACCTTAGCACCAGCCACATCCCAGGAATAGGGTGGGGAAAGGAGACTGGGTTGAGGGAACCAAAGAAAGTCCTGCTCGGAGCCGCTGTACAAGTGTGCTCGCTCATACACGCGGGCAGACACTGGTATCTGCACCACAGGCACAGGCACCAGCACATGTGGGCATTGACAGGCACAGGCACACACAGAAGCAGGTACACACAGACACAGGCACAGAAAGACCAGGCACACGCTGATGTGGGGACACAGGGATGCAGCTGCACACAGACGTGAGCACAGGCAGATGTGGGCACACGCAGGCATGAGCACACACAGACACAGGTGCACATAGACACAGGCACACATAAGCCAGGCACACGCTGATGGGGGAACACAGGGACGCAGGTGCACATGCACAGACACAGGCACAGACAGGCCAGGCACACGGTGATGCGGGGACACAGAGACACACGTGCACACAGACACAGGCACTGGCAGATGTGGGCACACAAAGGCATGAGCACACACAGACTAAGCCACACACTGCCTTGGTACACTCACACACCCTGCCTCGGTTCACTCACACCACCTTGGTACACTCACACACTCTGCCTCGTTACACTCACACTACCTCGGTGCACTCACACAACCCGCCTCGGTACCCTCACCCTGTCTCAGTACACTCACCCTGCCTTAATACACTCAGACACCCCACCTCGTTACACACAACCTGCTTCGGTACACTCACACAACCTGCCTTGGTACGCTCACACACCCCACCTCGGTACATTCACCCCGACTCGGTACACTCACACTGCCTCAGTACACTCACACCGCCTCGGTACACTCACATAACCTGCTTCGGTACACTCACACAACCCGCCTCAGTACACTCACACAAACTGCCTTGGTACAGTCACACTGCCTCAGTACATCCACACACATCGCCTCGGTACACTCACACAACTCGCCTTGGTACACTCAACCACCTCAGTACACTCACACTGCCTCAGTACACTCACACACCCCCACCTTGTTACACTCATACACCCCACCTTGGTACGTTCACCCTGCCTTGGTACACTCACACACACTGCCTCGGTACACTCACACACACCGCCTTGGTATACCCACATGCTCCACGTCGGTACTTTCACACACCTAGCCTCAATACACCCACACACCCTGCCTTGGTACACTTACACCACCTTGGTACACTCACACACTCTGCCTCATTGCAGTCACACTGCCTCATCAAGACTCACACACCTCACCTCAGTACACTCACTTCTCTGCGATACACTCATACAGACTGCCTTGTTATACTCACACCACCCTGGTACACCCACACAATCCACCTCGGTACACTCACACACCCCACCTCAATACAATCACCCTTGCCTCGGTACACTCACACTGCCTCAGTACACTCACACAATCCACCTCGGTACACTCACACAAACCACCTCAATACACTCACACATCCCGCCTCAGTACATTCACACAACTTGCCTTCGTACACTCACACAACTCTCCTCAGTACACTCAGTTGCCTCAATACACTCTCACATCCCACCTTGTTACACCCACACACCCTACCTCGTTACACTCACACACCCCACCTCAGTACACTCACACACAACACTATGGTGCAATCACACACCCCGCCTAGGTACACTCACACACTCTGCTTCGGTACACTCACACACACCACCTTGGTACACTCACACAACCTGCCTTGCTTTGGTACACTCACATTGCCTGGGTACACTCACACACCCCCGCTTTGGTACACTCACCCTGCCATGGTACACTCACACACCTTGCCTCAGTACATGCACACTGCCTTGGTATACTCACACAACCTGACTCAGTACACTCACACAACACTCCTCAGTACTCACACACCCCAGATTGGTACTTTCACATGCCTTGCCTCAATATACTCACACACCCCACCTCAGGACACTCACAAACCATACCTCTGTACACTCACACACACTGACTCAGTACACTCACACTGTCTCGGTACACTCACACACCCCATCTCAGTACACTCACACCACCTTTGTATACTCACACATCCCGCCTAGGTACACTCACACATACCACCTTGGTACACTCACACACTCACCTCGGTACACTCACACACACCACCTCGGTATACTCACACGCGCTGCCTTTGTACACACACACACACCCCACCTCGGTACACTCACCCCACCTCAGTACACTCACACAGCATGCCTAAGTAAACTCAGTAAACCATATCGGTACACTCACACATCCACCTTGGTATACTCACTTCACCTTGGTACATTGACATGTCACACCTTGGTACACTCACACCACCTCAATATACTCAAACACCCTGCCTCAGTACACTCACACATTCCACTTTGGTACACTCACAAAACCTACCTTGGTACAGTCACACTGCCTGCTTTGGTACACGCACCCACCCCACCTCTGTACACTCACATCACTTTGGTACACTCACACACTCCACCTCGTTACACTCACACCACCTTGGTACACACACAAACTGCCTCAGTACACTCACCCCACCTCGATACACTCCACTTTGTTACACCCCACTTTGTTACACTCACATTGCCTCAGTACACTCACACAACTTTCCTTGGTACACTCACAGAACCTGTCTCGGTTCATGCACATACCACACCTTGGTACATACACACACACCACCTTGGTACACTCACACTGCCTCAGTACACTCATACTGCCTTGGTACACTCACCCTGCCTCGGTACACTCACACTCCCTATCTCGCTACACTCACACACCTCGTCTTGGTACACTCACACCTCCTCTGTTGTACACTTACTTTGTCTTGGTACACTCATACCTCCTCTGTATACTCACACACACTGCCTCATTACTCACACACCCCAATTTGGTACAATCACACACCCTGCCTTGGTACACTCCCACAACCCGCTTCAATATACTCACACACTCTGCCTCGGTACACTCACACACCCAGCCTTCATACACTCACACATTTTGCTTTAGTACACTCACACACCCAGCCTCACTCACACATTTTGCTTTAGTACACTCACACACCCTGCCTTGGTACATTCACTTTGCTCCCCGTGCACTCACCACACCTCAGTACACTCACACACTGCATCTCAGTACACTGACACCCTGCCTCTGTACATCTGTACATGCACTGCCTCAATACACACACACACGCCCCACCTTGGTACACTCACTCTGCCTTAGTACACACACACTGCCTCAGTAGGCTCACACACCCCATCTTGGTACACACACAGCCCGCTGTACACTCAACAAAACCTTGCCTGCTACATTCACACACCCTGCCTTGGTACACTCACACACCCTGCCTTGGTACAACACTCACTGCCTTAGTACACACACTGCCTCATTACACTCACACACCTTGCCTCGTACCTTCACACTGCCTTGGCACACTTTACACACTCTGCCTCGTTACACCTACACACCCCTGCCTTGGTACACTCAGTCACACCGCCTTGGTACACTCACACACTGCACCCTCGCTACACTTACACCACCTCAGTACACTCACACATCCCACCTCGGTACACTCATCCCGCCTTGATGCACTCGGCCACATCACCTTTGCTACACCCAACCACTGGTGCAACACTCAGACACGCTGCCCTTGTGCACACCCACACCCAGCCTTCATACACCTGCCACATTTTGCTTTAGTACACTCACACACCCTGCCTTGGTACACCCACTTTGCCTCTCGGTGCACTCACCACGCCTCAGTACACTCACACACTGCATCTCGGTACACTGACACACCCCGCCTGTACATTCCACATGCACTGCCCAACACACACACGCCCCACTGCACACTCACACGCCTGCCTCAGTATACCTACCCGTCTTAGTACACACACACTGCCTCAGTAGGCTCACACCCCATCTTGGTACACACACACCCCGCTTTCACACTCACAAACCTGCCTTGCTACATCTACACACCCTGCCTTGGTACACTCACACACCTCCCGCCTTGGTACACTACACTGCCTTAGTACACACACTGCCTCATTACACTCACACACCTTGCCTCGGTACTTCACACTGCCTTGGCACACTTACACACTCTGCCTCGTTACACTCACACACCCTGCCTTGGTACACTCAGTCACACCGCCTTGGCACTCACACTGCACCCTCACACTTACACCACCTCAGTACACTCACACACATCCCACCTCGGTACACTCATCCCACTTGATGCACCTACACATCACCCTTTGCTACACTCAAACTACCTCAGAACACTCAGACATGCTGCCTCAGTACACTCACATGGCCCACCTCAGTACACTCACACACCCCACCTCGGTACACATACACTGCCTTGGTACACTCACACATACCGCCTCAGTATGCTCACACACACCACCTTGGTACACTCACTCTGCTTTGGTACACTCATACCACCTCAGTACACTCACATAACTGGCCTTGGTACACTCACACATACTGCCTTGGTACACTCACATTGCCTTGGTACACTCACACAACTTTCTTCAGTACAGTCACACAACCTGCCTTGGTACACTCACACACCCTGCCTCAGGACACTCACACACCCCGCCTTGGTACACTCACACTGCCTTGGTGCACTTACACATTCCACCTCATTACACTCACATACACTGCCTCGGTACACCTACACCATCTTGATACACTCAGTCCACCTCGTTACATTTACACTGCCTTGGTACACTCACACACCCTGCCTTGGTACACTCACCCAACCTTGATGCACTCACACACCACCTCTCGTTACACTCACACTGCCTCGAAACACACACCCTGCCTCGGTACACTCACACAACCTGCCTCAGTACACTCACACACCCCGCCTCGGTACACTCACCCCTCCCTCGATGCACTCACACACCTTGCCTCGGTACACTCAACTGCCTCGGTACACTCACTCACACCACCTTGGTATACTCACACACCTCACCTTAATGCACTCACACACCCTGCCATTATACCCTCACTTTGCCTTGGTACACTGACACATACCACTTCAGTACACTCATACCCATTGCCTCTGTATACTCACACTGCCTCAGTACACTCACACCACCTTGGTACACTCATACACCTTGCCTCGGTACACTAACACCACCTCGGTACACTCATACACTCCACCTCGGTACACTCACACACATTGCCTCGGTACACTCAACTGCCTTGGTACACTCACACACACCACCTCGATACACTCACACCCCTCCTCGTTACACTCACACACCTCACCTTGGCACACACTCTGTCTCAGTACACACACACACTGCCTCAGTACACTTACCCTACCTCAGTGCACTCACATATCCTGCCTCGGTACACTCACACACACCACCTTGGTACACTCGCACCACCTTGGTACACTCACACACCCCAACTCAGTACACTCAGAAACCATTCATCTGTACGTTCACACACCTCACCACCTCACTATACTCACACCATCTCAGTACACTCACACACCCCGTTAGTGCACCTTGTCTCGGTACACTACCACTGCCTTGATAGACACACATCCTGCCTCGGTACACTCACACACCCCCGCCTCGGTACACTCACATACACCACCTCAGCACACTCATACACCCCACCTCAGAACACTCACACATCCACACACACCCACGCACACCGCCTTGTACACTCACACACACTGCCTCAGTATACTCACACAACCCACCTCGGTACACTCACACAACCTGCCTTGCTACACTCACACACACTTCCTCGGTATGCTCACACACCTGACCTTGGTACACTCACACACACCACCTCGGAACACATACACACCCCGCCTGGGTACACTCACACGCCCGCCACAGTACACTCACACTCTTTGTCTTGGTACACTCATACATCCCACCTTGGTACACTCACACTCTTTATCTTGGTACACTCACACACCCCGCCTCGGTACCCTCATACGCCCCACCTTGGTACACTCACACAAATGTTCATGGATGCACGGACAGTTACACATGCGCAGTGAACACTCAGTGAGTTAAGTCCAAGGGTCTCCGGTTCTTTTGCTCTGCCAGTAGATGCCCTTTTCTTGTGCTTCCAGCCCTGAGAAAGGCTGCGTTTGGGGATTGCTTGTCAGATGTGCCAAAAGGCACTTTCAGACATTGTCGTTTCACACACTTGGCTCACTGAGGCCCTGGCCCCTCTTCACGCCTGGTATTTTGGCCCAGATGAGAAGAGCTCCATTACCCATTGTCACCCAGCCACCCACCCATCTCCCCACCAGGTCTGCTGAGTGCCTGCTCTGGCCATGGCAGCAGTGGGCTCTGGGGTGGATGGCGACAAGCCCATCTGCCTGCGCGGGGCTGGCAGTGGCTGTGCAGACAGCAAGCAATGGTATCCTCACAATCTAGTCTAGTGCTCACGGAATAACCAGGCAGTGTAGCCTGGGGCACTCGGCCTAGTCTGGGGAGGACTCTCCTGAGGGCATGGCGCTTGTGGGGAGCACCCTGAAGATGACAAACGTGGAGGGGGAGTGGCAAAAGCAGTCGGGTTGAGGGAGGCAGTGGCTGTGAGTGGCGGAGCTGTGCTGAGAGGAGAACACGGGCCAGTCTTACAGGGCTCTTCAGCTGGCACTAGGCGTTCAGTCCCTTTCCAGGGGCAATGGGCAGAGCACGATCAGACTTGTGACCTCCTGAATAGGAGACACCAGCAGGGACAGCCCTGGAAGCTTTCTAGGCAGCTTTCACCAGAACCAGGCAAGAGACCACACGGCCTTGACCCAGGCAGTGATGCCGAGTAGAGGGAAACACGTGGCTTGGAGGGGACCTTGGGGGCAGATCCGACAGGATGCAAAAGTGGGGGCCAAGGCAGAGGATGAAGTAGAAAGTCACTCCCGGAGTTTTTGCATGAATGAGGAGGACGGTGAGGTCTTTTCCTTGACAAGAAAACCCAGTGGAGGAGTCGGGGATGGCAGGCAGGACATCTCCACAGGCTTTGTGGGGGCTGAAGCTTATATAATTTGGGACCCCTCTTTAAGAAAAATAACACAAAATTTAAAAACCAAGGTGCGGGCCTCCAAGTAGCTTGCATAGGCGAGGGACTTGGCATCCCAGAGGAGGGCAGCAAAGGGAAGAGTGTGGCAGAGATGCCAGCTGTGGGCCTAAGAAATGACCCACACAGGCCTGAGCAGGAGGTGCCAGGGAGAAATCTCTGGGGTGGGGTGGGGAGGTGTGGGATTTAAATAAACAAGACTGATCATTATTTCCAGTTTTTCACAGTAAACCTCTCTAGCATTCTCCCCAGACCTCAGTAAGAGGTGGAGGAGCAGGCTGCTGAGAGGGGCTGGGGGCCCAGCTCCATGGCACCACTGGGCAGGTGGGCAGCACATACCCATGGTGGCAGAGAAGAAGACGATGCCAAGTACATTCATGCCATCGCTGGTGCCCGGCTCCGACTTGTAAATGACCTCGGGCGGTGGGGTCAGGTCCAGGGCGAAGTTCTGCACACGAGAGCCATTCTCCTCCTGGACCCCGTAGATGAGGATTCGCCGAGGAGGGGCCTCCTCTGGTGCCACCTTGGGGGACTTGACAACTGGGGTGGTCTTGGTGCGGTACTGGTGGGTGACACCCCACCCAGAGAGAAGTCAGGGCCAAGGGTTGTTATTAATATTAACAACAAGAATAATAGCATCTTGAAGGCACATTTGTATCCACTCCTATCCTATTTGATTGACAGTAACCCTGTGAGGCAGGCAGAGCAGGGATTGCTATAGATATTTTATCCAAAGAGAGCTGCAACTCCTTCCTCTACCACCACACCACCCAGCCACGCTGCCTCCTGCCTTCATTCCTCTTCTTCCTTCTACACCTCATCACCCCATCTGAGTCCCTCTTAACTGCCCACCCAGCCCCTTATCCACCCAGGTAACCCTTCATCCGCCCATCTGTCCCCTCCCAATCATCCAATATCCATCCACCTGGTGGCCCGCTGGCCCTGCCGCCCACCAGGTGGAAACTTGGACCTTCTCTTTGAAGAAGTATAGCCTGCCCCAAGCCTTGTTGATGAGATGAAGCCCATGCACGAGAAAATGACCCTCCTGAGCCACGTGCCTTTCCCTCTCTGCCCCCAGAGCATTCATGGGTCTCACTCCCTCATCCCTCAGGTACTGGGAGCCCAACAAGGGAGCTTCCTCTCCCCTCAAACATCACTGCATCGATAAGACCAACCACCCAGGAAACATATGAGACCTGAAGTCTCTGCTTCCTTTTCCTCCTCTGTAAAATGGGATCGTGATAGCATCTACCGCATGAAATGAAATGAGACGATGTATATAAAGTGCTTGCAACAGTTCCTGGCACACGTTAAGCCCCATGGAAGCATTACTGCTACCATTATCATCATCATCATCCTGATCATGATCATCATCATCATCCTGTTGAACACTCTGTGCTGGTTGCTGGAGATACACAATGAACCCGACATGATTTCTGCCTTGGGGAGGGAGTGACTAATTGGCTGAAAGAGATAGACAGCTTCACGAAGAAGGGGACATTTGACTTGAGTCCTGAAGGATGGATAGGAGTTTGCCAAAAGAAAAAGGCCTTTCCAGATAGTTACAAAGTAGAGCAACATTGTTTCTCTTTATCTCTCATACCCTCAATGATTCCCAATCACGATAGAAACTCCCTAGCCTAGGATTCGTTCCCCTTCGCAATCTGGCTTATTTCACACATGTCAGGAGAGATGCAGCAACTTGCCGAAGCTTTCACAGCTCCCTAATCAGAAGCCTCCTCTCTACCCCTCAGCCACTTCCTTGTGTCCCCAGGCTCAACGTAGGGCCCAGACCAGGAAAGGGGTTCAGGAAACTCTGGATTAAGTCAACCAACAGCTGACAGTTTAGAAAGGGAAACAGAATTGGAAATTATTCAAAGGGCAGGCAAAGACTGATGCACAAGGGCATTCACCACGATTTCAACAAAGGAAAAACTTTGAAAACAACCTAAGGGAACACTGAAAGGGGAAATGGGAAATAAATGGCAGCCTAGCCTTATCACAGGCCATTATAGTACCACTAAACATTATACTTTTAAGAAATATTTCATATCTGGGCAAAATGCTTATGATATAATGGAAGTGAAAAAAAGCTAGATGAAAACTGTATATGCACTATGATTATAATATTATTTTAAATTTATAGAGGAAAAAGACTAGAAATATACTGTCTGCTACCAGGGACTATGTACTAGAACTACAGATGATTTTTATTTTCTACTTTATATTGTTTAGTATTTTCCTAATTTTCTACAGTGAGCATCATTATTATTCTTGTTGGGGGGAAATGATTACTTTAAAAGGAAAGAGAAGACAGGCTAAGAAGATAGGCCTGGGTTTACCCTACTGGCTTTGTTATTTACTAGTGGTATAACCTTGGGCAAATCACTGAATCCTCGGAGCTTCAGTTTCCTCATCAGGAAGTGGGGCTAGTGCCGAGTTACTGTGAGGATGGGCGAGAGGGTGTATGTGTAAGCAGAGCAGGCACTCAGTGAAGGCTTCTCTCCACCCCCACACTTTTTCATCATGAAAACTGGAACCCAGGACAGGGATGTGGCCATGGGGGGCTCTAAGGATCCCCAACGTGCCCTCCCCTCTAGCATCCCACGTCCAGGAGACAGCGTGACTGACCAGCACACCTGTCACGTCCCAGCCATGCCACTAGCCCTGCTGCCTGCCCTCCTGCCGGCTGCCCCTTCCCTCCCCTCCACCGCCCATGGACTCACTCACCTGTTTGAATGTGGCTTCTACTAGGTTGGCTGGGAACATGTTCCTGGGAAGAGAATCAGCAATTGAAAAATTCCAGAGCCCAGGACAGGAGGGCCCTGGGGGTCGTGTCCTTGGGGTCATCTGAACATCTCCCTTGGTGGTCGGGCCTTCCTCAGGCCAGCCTCCTCTGAGATCTCATCCCCTACATCATGGACACTCCACCCCACCAGCACCTGCTGCCCTCAGACTGTGCCACTTACTTTCCAGAGCCAGGCATTTGTCTACACTGTTCCCTCTGCCTGGAATGCCCTGCCTGCCTCTCTGTCTGGTGAACTCCTCAAATCTACCACAGATCAGGCACCTATTCCTCTGTCCAGCCCTCCCTGACTGCCCCACAAGACCCTGTGGCCCTTCTGTGTGTGGGTCACTGCCACTCCGCCACACCACCGTGCGGTCGCTGGCTCACCTGTCTGCCTCCCCCACATAGTGGCCGCCTTGCAGGTGGGACTTGGTTGTTCATGTCCTATCTGTGGGGCCCAACACGGGACCTCTCACACAGGGGGGCTCATTATTCTTAGTAACATATTTTGTTATAAAGCTAAAGGTGGAGGAGTCTTTCCTACCAGATAAAAAAACTAAAGATGTAACTGTCAAAACTGTGATACTGACACAGCAGTCAATGGAATAGTCCGTGTAAGGGAAGCTGTAGCCCAGAAACAGAACCTAGCACATCTAAGTGTTTCGTACTTGATAAAAGTTGTTTCACAAACCAGTGAGGAAATGAAGGATTCTTTATAGAATACTGTGCAGCTGACCAACTGTTTGGAAAAATAGATGTCAGATCCTTACACCAAAATGAATTCCAAATGATTTAAAGAAATAAATAATTCTTTGAAAAATGAAACCAGCTGGGCATGGTGGTTCACGCCTGTAATCCCAGCACTTTGGGAGGCCAAGGCAGGCAAATCACCTGAGGTCAGGAGTTTGAGACCAGCCTGGCCAATACGGCGAAACCCCATCTCTACTAAAAAATACAATAATTAGCTGAGTGTGATGGTGCTTGCTGTAGTCTCAGCTACTCAAGAGGCTGAGGCAGGAGAATTGCTTGAACCCGGGAGGTGGAGGTCGCAGGGAGCTGAGCTTACACCACTGCATTCCAGCCTGGGGACAGAGTGAGACTCTGTCAAAAAAAGAAAGAAAGAAAGAAAAAGAAACCATAAAAAGCTAGAAGAAATACAGGTTGAGATCTTATCAGGTCTCAGTATAGGAAATGACTCTCTAAGAACAAAATGAGCAATAAATCAATAGATTTTACTATATGAAAATAAAGAAATCCTGAAGCGCAACATAGCATCCTGGATTGGATCCTGCAACAGAGAAAAAGGACATTCGTGGAAAAACTGATGAAATCCAAACGAGATCCGTAACAGTTAATAGTGTTGTACCAATTTAATTTCTTAGTTTTGACAAACGTACCCTCGTTACGTAAGCCGCTAACATCAGGGGAGGCCCGGTGAAGGGAGTGTGGGATCTCTCTGTACGGTCTACAACTTTTCCGTAAACCTAAAACTAGGCTAAAATGGAAAGCTGAATGCTTGAGAAGCTCTCTAAGACATATTGCAATACAGCTAAAACCACTGCGTGACCAAGCACTACCATCTTAAATCTACTAAGAGCTTTTACAAATCTTGGCCTGGTTTCTACCTTCACTAGCTCCTCTCATCAGAATATCAGCTCCCTGGAGGGCGGAAACTCTGTGTTTGTTCACTGCTGTGTCTCCAGCCCCGGGAAGAGTTCCCAGCACATACCAAGCACTTGGTAAATATTTGCTGCGTAAACCAATAGACCACAAAAACCCGACGGGAAAATGATGGAAAGATATGACCAGGCAATTCATGTTACAGAAGAAGGAAAGTCAATGGCCAAAAATGCTTTCTAAAATGTTTAGTTTCATCAACAAATTCAAGTATTTCCACCTGTCAAACTGACAAAGTATTTTTAAAACGACAGTGCACAGTGTGGGAGGTTTGGTGAGAGATGGGCACCCTCACATGGTCCTGGCAGCAGCCTTTCTCTAAAAGCATTTATATCTTTGTCCTCACAGTCCCCTTCTAGGACTGTGTCCTGTGAGAAATGCCACCTCTGAGGTTAGCATCTGCTAAGAGGTTTCCGTTGCGTGCCTGCTCTTCCTCCAACCTGCGGCCCCACACTCACACTGCCTCCACCTGGGTTGCCTCCTACTCACTCTTGTCCTCAGTTCCTCTCTTCCCATCTTTCAAGACTCAGCTCACACACACATGGAGAACATGTGGAAGGTCATAAGAAGCCAAATGGAACTTGTACCTGTATAGACATTTATTTACAACTTCCTTTACAGTTACAATCATTTTAAATGTGGGCCCTGGCAGGGTTAGCTAGTTGCCTACACAGTCTCCATTCTCACATCCTTCCTTAATAGAAGTCCTGTTATATTGTGGGGACCAAATGGGACTGCCATCAAACCCTGATTCTCTTGCTAATGGGGTGGCCATCAAGAAGTGAGTGAAAATTGTTGGGTGGTGATTCCTGGAAAACTCTTAAGGAGGTGCCCATTCAGCCAGGACCCTTTGGTCCATTCCTCCAACTTTCTTCTTTTATGCCTTGAACACGGAGATAATAGCTAAAGTTTGAGCAACCTTCGTGGACCATGAGACTCAGATGAAAGCCAGGTGCTAAGCATGGCACAGCACATGGGTGGGCGGGGCATGGGACCCTGGCGACTGCCAGCTGCCCACCTCCCACATCTGGTCTGCTCTTCAGGAGCAAATGCAAGCTTTTACCTTACTTAAGCCTCTGCTGATCTGGCAGCCAAAAGCAAGTCCTGACTAGTGTGTTCACATACTAATAACCAATGAATTTATCCTGCAGATTTTAATCAAGAATCATACCTTTGATTATTAAATGGCGAAACGTACATTTTCTTTTGGCTTTGAGCCTTCATGGGAAGACTTTTCTGCTTGTCCCATGAGGTCCGTGCTCCTGGTGGCAGCTACATAAAACACAGAACGTGCCTGGGGACATTAATAGCCATGCCTATCAAATACCCACACACTCTGCCCTGTGCCTCTCGGCACGTTTTCCAGGCAGAGCCAGAGTCCATCTCTCAGCTCCCCTCTTCACCTGCTACTTGCAAATTCTCACCGAGATGCTTCCAAACCCACCCCTAATAACATGTCCCCAGACCAAGTCCTAAAGGTGGGAGTTTCCTTCCCAAGCACAGCTCCTGGAAGCTTCTTCCAATCCCTGAGAGGGTAGTTGGGAGCTATAAATAGATCCCAGTCATTACTTAATCTCTGTGGTGTTTTAATAAGATTGGAAAAAAAAAAAAAAAGAGAGAAGGGGCCAGCCCTGATGAGTGCTCTGCTTGGGTTTCTGTTTTGCGCGCCGCACTGGGAGCAGGCGCCAGCATTCTGGAGCCCCCGCTGGAGCCTGGAAAATGAATTCCTGTCTTGGCGGGTCATCCAGGGACATGGCCCATTGTGTTCCTCTGGAATCATCTTTGAGACATAGATGCAGATCTTTGCCCCTGAGGTGTGCCTTATGTCCCCACGCAGTGGGCTCCCACTTTTCATTTGTCCCACTTGCCCTGGTTCTCAGTTCTCTGCCTGGTCATCTGTGTTTCTGTTCAGTCTTCAGTGCCTGGTAGACACCTGCTCTGGGCCCGGGCAAGGGTCAGGAGGCCCCTGGTCCCTCACTGCCAGTGTCCCCATCTCCTTCACAGCCTCTCAGAGCATCAGGAGTCGCCATCAGTGCACCCACTTGTCCGTCTGTCCTGAGATGGTGGGCAGCCCTGGGGTGGGGGGGTGAGGGGCACTTGTACTTGCTCCCCAGCTCCCAGCACAATGTCTTCACCCAGAGCAGCAGCTGAATACAGGGGGGCTGAATGGAACGGAAGTGACTGTGCCCCTCCCAGGGCACCCCATCCATGCCTCTGCTCACCTTCTGTCCACTCCACCCTACTCTAATCCATCCTTCCCAAACCCACCAGCTTCCCATTCCGAAAGCCTAACAGCCAGCCCCTCAACCTGGGCTTCCTGTCTTCAAGGTTGGACTCTGCCCAGCCCTCTCAACCTCATCTCCCAGAACCCTCCTCCAGAAGCTTCGGTTCACTCCCTGTAGCCTCTTCACTGGCTCATAGGCCTTTGTGTTTCAGAGCCACAGAGCTAGATGGGATCTTGAAAATCACTGGGGAAACTGAGGCCTGGAGCAGGGAACTGGCCTGCCCAGGGTCACACAGTGACTTATTATTATCAGAGTGGAGATGAGGCCACAGGTCTCCTAGGTTCTGGTTTCCTGTCCCAGGACGCCTGTGTTCTCTCCCTGCAGCCCCGCTCTCTGACCAAGAAACTGTGAGAGCGAGGCCCAACACCCAGCTTTGCAGAACAACTTGCCTCAGGGTTGAGAGCGGGTGGGGTAGCGCTGGGGGGTAGGGGATGCGGTTCTAAGCAGCAGGATCCATTTTCTGTTCTAAGCAGCAGGATCCATTTTCACCACGTGAAAAGCAACCCAAGAGCAGGAAACACTCTGGAACATTTGACTGTGGCACGTGTGTTTGATCTGGAGCCCCACAGCCCCTGAGCAGGGGCAGGCGGTGGTGAGGCAGGCAGCACTGACACCTCCTTCCACCACGTGGAGAAGCCGTTCTGAATCATTAAGATCCAAGAAACCATGAATCACCACATCCTAGAAATAACAGATCTTAGAAACGAGGTTTCTTGAAGTTCCTCTTTCCTCGGTTTCCAGGATATCCTCCTGTCTCACTGCTTGCCGCTGCTCTGTCTGCTGTGCAAAGCCCACAGTGCGGCCGTGAGCCAAGGCCCCTCCTAGGCCTCTGCACCTGCTTGCTAGGCACGTTCTCCCTGGACCATTCCAGCTCCTCCTGGGGGTCAGACCCCAATGCCACTGATGACCTGAAACCCACATGTGCATTCAGCAAACTCTGTGCACCCACTCGGTGCCAGGGGCTGTTCTAGACTCCAGGATACAGCAGACAACAGAGGTTAAAGAGCCAGGCTTCACAGGGCATGTTACATTCCAGTGGAGGTGGGAAGAAAAGAAACACATCGATGTGATCATGTTGGGTACTAAGAAAGGCTATGAGGAAAAGTGACACAAGAGAAGACGACAGAGAGACAGAGCCTTAGAGGCCCCAGGAGAGGCAACACCCAGGAGAGATATAAATGGAGTGAGGGAAGGAGCTGCATGCTTTCTGCAGGGAGGGCCATCCAGAGAGGCAGCAATGGCACCCAGATGGGAAGGATAGCGAGGCGGGTGGGGCTGGAGCCAGGGCAGGGAAGGGGAGAGTCGGGGCAGAGGTCAGAGGCTGACGTGTGTCAGCAAGTGCCTGTAAGCCGCAGTGCAGGCTACGATTTTGTTGCCATGTGCTGGGTTGAGAGCAGGTTTTGAAAAGGATGCCTCTAGCTGCAGTGCTGAGAACAGACCACAGGAAGCAGAGAGGAAGCGGAGGCCAGGACGGACACCGGAGGGGCGGCAATGGCGGGAGTGGCAGGGGAGGTGGAAGGGCCATGGCTTGGGATTTCATTTTCAAGGTAAAATTTGCTGAAGAACTGGCTGCAGGGTTTGAGAGAATGAGAGATGTCAGACCAAGATGGGCAGGGCGAGAAAAGGGCAAATTTGTGGAAAAATCAAGAGTTGAACTTGGGCCTGTTAATTTTGAGATGCCTCTAGACACTTTATGTGAGAATCTGGAACTCAGGTGAGAGGTTTCCAGTCTGGTGACTGAATTCGGAAGTGCCAAAGTCCAGAAGGTGTTCAAAGCGCTGGTATTGGATGAAGTCTCGCTGGCCAAGTAAGCACTCACAGAACAGACCCTGCCTGGATCTCTTTCTGGCTCCAGACTCTGTAGGTGACAGCCACGCGATAGGAACAACATGGCAAGCATTTCATGATCCTTAGTTCATCACACACTCTAAAGGGTAAAAGAGAAGCTGAAGATTTTCCTGGAGTAATGAAGGCAGTGGTAGACTGATTGCATCGATGGCCTTGGTTTGTAGACTCCATTTCCCTTGTAACATTGTGGTCCCTTCCCACCTTGAGTCTGGACTTGGCCACCTGACTTGCTTTGGCCAAGAGGATATTAGTGGACTTGCTGAAAGCAGAGGATTGAGAAACATTTGCATGTTTTGATTTCCTCTCTTGCTCCTCCACCTTTGTTATTTAAAAAAATGCCTGGGCTAGCTCTCTCCTGGAATCCTGTCACCACTATGAAATAAATCTAGGCTGGCCTGCTGGAGTACAAAGACCACAAAGAGTGTAGCTGAATCATCTCAGCCAAGACTCCCCTAGACCAACTGTTCCCCAGTTGAGCCACCAGCTGCCTGCAGACATGTGAGTGAGCTCAGTCCAAATCAGCAGAACTTTCCAGCTGACCTGTAGACTTGTGGCTGTCGTTTTAAGCTGATAAATGTTGGGTTGGTTTGTTATGCAGCAGTAACTAGCTGATACAGGGAATGAGAGTTTCTTTAGAGAGCGGGTGGGAGCCTGTGTGTGGGCATCTATCCCCACGGGGGAGGAGAGGAATGCTTCTCCACAACCTCAAGCCAAGAGAACTGTTCAGAGACCTTGGCTTGAGTCTCTTAGGATTTGAGGAATGTAGGGGCTGGTGCCTGACTCATGTCCAAAGGCCCTGGGAAAGGCCAGCACTTCCAATAGGGATATGTATGCTTCCCATGGGCCAGATATGACCCAACAGGGTCACCCAGGGGGTGAGGTGACCCCAGTAGAGGAGTCAACCAGAGCCCCAGTCTAGGGAGGACATTGTAAGTAGCCAGATGGAATAGACTGCCTGAGTCCAGGGGACAGCAGGTGAGAGATGCAAGAGAGAGAAGAGGCTCCAGAGAACCCGCAGAAGTACTCTTGGAGAGACATGACCAGGGAGCACCTGCTCCAGCTCACCCCACTCCCAGTCTGGGCAACCCATCCTGGCCAACTCCCTCACCTCTCACCAGGGAGCAGGCAGAGCAGGAAAGAGAAACAAACGCACCACGACCCTCTTCCCACTGCAGCTTTCCCAGTCTGAGTCAGATCTGAAAGACTAGGACAGGGTTAAACTGCATGAGTTTGGGGTTTTAATGTTAGGCCTAGACTTCTTAGATCTGAAATTGATCGGAAAGTGAGAAGTCCTAGAAGGAGTTCCCTGAGCGGGTTTAGTGGGGTAGCCTGTGGAGCTTAGCAGACCATTCCTGGGTGGGGCTTCCCAGGCTCCATCCCAGTCCTTGCTCTCTCACCACCTGTCGTGCAAGAGCCCCTCTGCCACTAGGGTTGCACCTAACACCTCTCCCTGGTGATTTCCAAACCTCTGTCTCCAGCTTAGACTCCCCCATGAGAGTCACAACCACTGGCCAACCATCAGTGGACACCTACCCCAGGATGCCTGCTCCTGCTGCAGACCATCCATCGCTTGGTGACCACACCACCATCCACCTGGATGCATGGGCCAGAAACCTTCATGCTGGGTGATCAGCAGACCTCACCTCCGTCTCACCCGCCTCCTGCTGAGGGTCCCTCCTGAGCAGCCCTGCCATCTGCCTCTTTTTCCATCCCCAGGGCCACCACTTGGCCCTGTCCCTGGCTCTGCCTTCCCCTCCAACCTCTCCCGCAACTCTGACCCCTGGTCAGAGTGAACCTTCTGAATTGGATCATGCCGCTCCTTTGTGTAAAACCCATTTCCTGAGGCCTTTAGGATAAAACTTAACTTTTGGCCTGGTTCACGGTGCCCTTTGAGGTCCATCCCCACCTGGATTCTCCCGCAGGAGTTTCTGCCCGCCTCTCACCCCTTCTGCTCTGTCACACTGATTGTGCGATGCTTTCTCCCCCACCCGGTTCCCTGCAGCTCAGGACCTTTGCACAGCTGTCGCCCCCAGGCGTGCCCTCCCTGCCTCCCCATCTTCCCCTCCCTTAGAAGGGCAGTGGCTTCCTGCTCTCAGCGGCAGCCCCAGCTTCGCCATTGCAGCCCCAGGCCCCCACGTTGTCCCTGTCTGTTCCAGGGTCTGACCACTCCTGTAGGGCAAGGGCTGGCTCTGTGGTCCAGGGCCTGGCACAGAGCTCCACTGGTGAGGGAGCGAATGCATGAAGTAGAGGAGCAGGGGTGGCCTGCAGGGGACCTGGGGAGAGGGAGTGGAAGGTGGCTGTGCCACTGGGTCTGCAGTGCTTCCCTGGAAAGGGAGCCTAGGTCTGAGAAGCAACGTCAGCTGTACTGCCGTGGCTAGGGGGTGGCACTGCAGGGCAAACGGCACTGTCCTTGGAGTCAGACAGGCCCAGGTTGAATCCTGTCTCCACTACCTACCTACTGGTGACTCTGGAAAAGTCATGGCACCTTTTTGAGCCCCATTTCCTCATCTGTGAAAAGAGGACCAATAAAGAAAGGGAGGGGCCAACAACCGCCAGCCTCCCATCCTACAGGCTGGGCATCAGCAAATGCTCACAGACGCCTACTCTGCGCCCAGCCACAGGCAGAGAGGGGCAGACCCCGTCCTGCCTGCAAGGTGCTTCCAGCCTGGTAGGGCAGACAATGCAGCATGATCTCGGTGGGCAGCCCAGAGCTCAACCCCCCAGGGTGATCATGGCCTCTGTGATCACCCCCATCCCTACACCCCGTCCTGGCCTCTGGGGGCCCTGGCAGGGCAGGCTTGGGCCTGGCATTCCCAGCGGGGTGTGGGTGGCAGTGGTTACCGGATGAGGTCCAGCAGGGCATCAGCTGAGCTCATGATGGGCTTCCCACTCTGCTCCGTGGTCTCCTTCTGGGCCGCGCCGCCTGGGTGGATGATGGAGACCATGAAGATGCCCACGATGACAGCCATGAAGGTGGTCCACAGGTAGTACGCCACAGTAAGGACGCCCAGGCGGCTGGAGGTCTTGGCATCCAGGGAGGCAAGTCCGGACATCAAGCTGGGAGAGCAAGGGGGTCAGGGGCTGTGGTGGGGAGGCCAGGGCCTGGCCGGGCACTCAGTGCTCACTCAGCCCCTCCTGGCCATGCCCAACTGCCTCACAGTGCTCCAGGGAACCCCGTTCCTCCAACAGTCCAGTCCTGTGCTCCTTCCAGCCTCTCTTTCTGCTCTGCCCTCTGCCCCACGCCCTGGGGTGCAGGCCCCGCGCCTTGAGACTTCTGCACCTGCCGTTTCCCATGCTTGATGTCCTCTTAGAAGCTTCCTTCACTCTCCTAACGCCTGCCCACCAGGCAGGATCAAACTCGGGCTACCTCTGAGGTCTACCTGCCTCTCCCCCAAAGTGAGGAGCCCATTCCAGGACTCCCACAGCCCCTGGTTGCTCCATCAGGACCCTGCCTGTCTGTCTGTGAAAGGAGGGATGGGTCTGACTTCCCTGTGGGTCCCAAGAGGACGGCACTGCAGGAGATTCCTGCAGGCTCCTGGACCAGCTAATGAGGGAGTGAGAGCACTGGGCTGGGGACTGGTGACCCGGGTCCTAGTCCCAGCTCTGCCAACTGGCTGTGTGGCCTCAGCAAGCAAGTCACTCCCCCATCTTTGGGCCTTAGGATCTCCATCTGTAAAATGAGGCCATCTTGGGTTTGTGCCTGGGCTCAGGTTCCCTGTCATAGGTGGCTGTGTTGAGAGGGCTGTGGGTCTCTCTCCTCTCCGCTCCTCTCCACCCCCATCCACCCTGGCCTGGGTCTCTGCCTACCAGTGCAGGTCAGCCCTGAAGTCCTGGAGCCCCGGAGCCCCAGAGCGACTCTTCTTGCAGCTGTTGTGGGGGTGTGGGATGGTGGGGGGCGGAGGGACGTGAGAGATTAATTAAGGAAATGCTTGTGCTTTGCTTTGTTGCCAAAAGGATTTTTCCCCAAAGCCTTTTCATTCTTTCAGATAAAGAAGTATTTGTCTGGTTTTAATCATGTAAACAAGAGCAGATAATCCCCAGCCACGCTCCTCTTATCATTAGATTCAGTGCAGCAGCATCCAGCCCCAGGCTGAGCATGAACACCGGCCCCCTCCCCCAGCAGGAGCCACTGCCTGTGAGGGCCCTGCCCTGCCTGCTCGCTGGCACAATGGCTTACTCTTCTGGTAAGACAGAGTTTGAGCGTCCCCTCCTCCAGGAAGCCTTCTCTGACCACCAAGCTGAGTGAAGCCTCCTTCTCTGGTTCCACAGTCCCTGTGCCTCCCACTGTCCCTGCCCCCACCTCACTGAACTGTGAACTGTTTACCGGAAGCGCCTCCAGGGTTGGGCCAGGTTCTGATTGAATGCTGGGTCTACAGTTTGGTAGCAGACCTGCTGAGTGAAGGACTGAATGAATGAATGAATGAATGTTTACAATCTCTGCTCATCCTCATCTGCCAGGATGCCATATGTTAGTGATGGGCTTAGGGTGGGTCTTAGACATAAATCCTGAAGGGCTCATAATGGGATTGTGCAGCCAGAGGAAATGGGGGCTGCCCTGCAATCATTATTCAAGAGAGGTTATCCCAGGCAGGGTCGGTGCATCAACCCCAGGGCCAAACAGTCCTCCTGCCCTGACAGAACCCCCACAGTGGGGTCCAGCTGCCTCAGGCCACAGGGAAACCATGTCCCCGAGAGCAGGCCCTGCCTGAGGTCACACAGGACAGCAGTGCCTGGCTGGGCCAGAACTCAGGGCCAGACCCAGGCCTGTCCTCCTTCATTCATATGTGTTCGAACCTTTCTCACATGCCCAATCTGTGCCATGCCCTGTGCCCACAGGAAGAAATCAGAACCTGTCCCTGACCTCAAGGAGCTCCTAGTCTGCCAGGGAATGGGGAGGGAGATGGAAAGGACACTGGGCCACAAGTGCACTCAAATGGCCCCTGGACTATGTGGGAGCATCAGAACCACAAGGGAAGGGGGGACAAGGAAATGCTGTCTTTATTCAAAGAGGGAATCACTTCAAGCTAGGGAAGTCAAGAAGGGCTCCTTGGAGGAGGTGGCATTGGAGCTGGCTCTTGGAAATGGGAGAGGATTTGGAGATGGGGCAGACATGCCCAGCAGTGAGACAGCAGAAGGCAGAAGGGAGGCTGGAAAGTGTGAGACATCGTGCTGTTTGATGTGGTCTGAGCTTAGGTAATATCTGAGGATTGGTGACAGATTGGTGATAGAGGGGATAGAGAAGATAGGCTGAGCTCAGGAATAGGGTGGCCTTGTGGCATTTAGCACAACTCAGGTGGCAGAATTTGCTGAATGTCTAGAACGGAGAACTAACAATTCCTTAGATTTGAGAAGATCAAAGTAAACGTGGTGTACTGGGAGGGTCACTGAAGTAGTATTTGTAAGATCAAAAACCCGACCTAAGAACTCACCGATGCAGATTAGATAGAAAGGGATGGCATAGCAACCATCAGGAGGGGTCATGTCCCTGGAAGGATGTTCCTAAATCAACGCTAAGTGGAAAAGCAAGTTACCAGATCGTTTGCATCTCTGCAGTGAGCCCTGGAACCTCCTGGGATGGAGGACCCCCTCTGGATTTGCGGTCTAGGCACATAGACGTGTCTGAGGGATTGCGTGGAGTGGGGCGCAGGTGAGGACTGGATTTCAGAAAAGGATGAAGGCCCCTCAGAAGGCCCCTCCGGGGAAGAAGAGGCCTAACACAGGGGTGGCGCCAACTCAGGGACAGAATGAGACGTGGGAGGGAGTGTAGGTTCTAGACAGAGCGAGAGGGACCCCTGACCCCACCTTGGGGCCCCCATTGGCTCTGGACAGGAGAGCACCCATGGACGAAATGGAGAGAATCCTGGGACCCAAGTCGTTCTGTGCTGGAGCCTCCCTCCCTCCCCACATATGGCGGAAGGGAGAGGTGAACAGCCGCGGGGACTGCTGGTGACAACTGGCAGCATAGGTCAGCCTCCCCCAGAGTGCCAGGGCCGTGGCAGGTGAGGGCAGAGGCCAAAAAGAATGGGGGCTGGGCATGCAGAGGGCGTGGCTTCCACAGCCCTCACAAGCACAGAAAGGAGGTGTAAGGCCCTGCCCTTTGGCTTTTTGAGGAGTTCCTCCCTGCTGAGGCTCCTCAAGGTCCCAGGCTTCAGGACCAAGCTGTTAAAGATGACTTTTCTGAGAACTTGCAGCTGGTGCCCAGTGGTGGTGGGAGACCAGGTCGCACGGACGGGCATGGAAACAAGCAAACTCTATAGGAAATGTACTTTGGGTGTTATAGATAATTTTCGTTTTGGTTTGAATAGTCCTTCACATTTTCTATTCTTTCAAGATTGAGCCCGTCTTCTTGTGTGATGGAGAAGACACCTCCCGGAGGACCCAGCAGCCTCAGAAGCCATCATCTCTCTGGGACTTTACTGTTCCCCAGACACCTGAACACCCAGCTCACTGGATCCTTAAACAACCTTCTGAGTGAGGCACTGTGGAGTTCCACTGCGAGCCACATTTGTAATTTAGAATTTTCTAATAGTCACATTAAAAAGTGAAAAGAAACAGGTGAAATTAGTTTTTTGGTGAAATTAAGTTTAATACATTATTTAACCTAGTTTATCCCAAATATTATCATTTCAATGTGTCATCAATATAAAAATTTTTAGGCCAGGAGTGGTGGCTCACGCCTATAATCCCAACACTTTGGGAGGCTGAGGTGGGTGGATCACCTGAGGTCAGGAGTTCAAGACCAGCCTGACCCACATGGTGAAATCCCATATCTACTAAAAATACAAAATTAGCTGGGTGTGGTGGTGCATGCCTGTAATCCTAGCTACTCGGGAGGCTGAGGCAGGAGAATCGTTTGAACCCGGGAGGCAGATGTTGCAGTGAGCCGAGGCCGAGCTGTCGCACTCCAGCCTGAGCAACAAGAATGAAACTCCGTTAAAAAAAAAAAAAATTATACTGCTTCTGGTTTTAAATTTTAACTTAAATTAATTAATAAAATTAAAAGTTCAGTTCCTCAGTTGCACTGCCCGCATTTTGGGTCTCAGTAGCCTCCTCTGACTCATGGCTGTTGTATTGGACAGCCCAATACAATAGTTCTGAGTTACAGACGTGGAAAATGGAGCACAGGGAGGTGGAGGCAACTGGCGAGGCCCCCCAGTTGGTGAACAATAGCGTCAAGATTGGAACAGGGATTTCTGGTTCAGGACCTTGTGGCGTTCCCCCTCCCACAGTGCCTCTCTGTGGTACAGATCTGGTTTTACTCTGGTGGTGGGGGAAAAGATCTGGTTTGGGCTATGATTTTATTTTTTATTCCCCCTCCCACAGTGCCTCTCTGTGGTACAGATCTGGTTTTACTCTGGTGGTGGGGGAAAAGATCTGGTTTGGGCTATGATTTTATTTTTTATTAATTCTTTGAGACAGGGTTTCACTCTGTTGCCCAGGCTGGGGCTCAGTGGCACGATCACGGCTCACTGCAGCCTTGACCTCCTAGGCTCAAAAGATTCTCCCACCTCAGCCTCCCAAGTAACTGGGACTATAGGCACTCAACACCATGCCTGGCTAATTTTTTAAAATTTTTAGTAGTGATGGGGTCTCTTGATGATGCCCAATCTGGTCTTGAACTCCTGAGCCCAAATGATCTTCCTGTCTTGACCTCCCAAAGTGCTGGGATTACAGGTGTGAGCCACCCAGCCCAGCCAACTATGATTTTAACGTGATTCAGCCCATGTAAAGCCTTTTTAGTTCAATCTCAGCGTTCACAGCCTGCCTGTGGTAATGAGCCTCAGATTTGTGGTGGGGAGTTTCCCATTGTTGGAGGCATCCAAGTGGATCCTTGATGGCCACCTGTTGAGATACTGGATGGAGGCTTCCAGATAGAGTGGGAGGTTCCATGAGGATGACTTCAAACATTCCTTGTGGCTCTGTGATTTATGGTGAGGGGAGAATAGGCAACCACCTCTCTCCCACTCCAGGCTTGGCTGGGTGCTCCTGGAAGCACCTGAGGTGTTTGAGGGCCCCAGGGAAGAGCCTCTGGGAGTCTGGAGGCCTGGAACTCCCTC